GGGGGAAAAATAATATTGAAAAGCAATTCTCCAGTTAACTTTTAAAATTTTTTATTAATAAAAGAGAATAGATTTCATGTATTTCATAGACACAGTTCTAAGGAGACGAACGTACTTCCCTTCCTTTGTCCCTTAGTCCTCCCTCCACCTTCCTTTATTTTTAATTTTTCCAAAAGCAGAATTTCAATTTACTTTATAATCACAGGCTTAATGCACTACTTACTAAAATGTTCAACAAGTTAAAGAGCACTTTCCAACAGGAGTATAGACGAGCACTAAAAACAAGAATCAATCTACACTCACAATATTCTTTGGGGTTGTAGGTGGTCTGTAGGTAAATATCTCTGGGAAATACTAGTAAAAGTCCGTTCTATCTCTGCAGGTGGTGGTGAGTGATAGCACTGCTTCATTTAAACCTATAATTGCTTGGCAGAAGTGTGGAGGCTGATATCCACACACACATCTGTGCAGTTCTAAAACATCAAAACATCTCCTATATATGTAGACCGCCAGCCCATGGTGTTATGGAATACTGGAAATGTATTTGGAAATATTTACTGTGCATAATAGCCCTGAAGAATTAAAATGCTTCTCACATTAACTTATTTCCACTGTTAGTGTCACCCTCACCTTTTATCTCTGCCTCTACACTACCAAAAGAGACTTGTAACTGTTGTGGTTTTCTACTAACATTCTTCTTTCAGCCATCATTCATATTGCATTGCCTGATTCATTCTAGAATTTTACCTTTTCAGAGCTATTCTGTTATTCAAAAATTTTAATGAGGTCACGTTACGTACAGCATCATGCCGAAGCATATGGATATAGCATTTAAAATGCTCCATACTCTCTTTACAGTTTTGATTGAGCTCCCGGTGCACACAGGTAGGCACCTGACTTGAGTTGGGCTGTTTGATCAGCTGTCCTGAATTGAGACTTGCAAACCATTCAGGGGTACATCAAATAGTCTATGAAAATTTTGAATTGAAAAATAAGTTTGGGGTGAGTTTTTGGTACAGTGGTAAGGATAGTGCTTGGAACACTAACATCCTGTATCTGGGTGTCTGGGTTTGAGTCTCAGGTCCAGAGCCTGATTCTACCTTCTGATAATGCACACTCTAGAGGCAGCAGGTGATGCTCAAGTACTTGGGGCCCTGCAACCCACATGGGAGACCCAGACTGAGTTTCAGACTCCTGCCCTTAACCTGGTTAAAGCCTGGCTGTTGCAGGCATGTGGAAATGAGTCAGAGAATGGAAGATCTCTCTGTGCTTCTTTCTGTGTGTGTGTGTGTGTGTTGCAGATAAACAAAAATAAATACAAAAAATTTGTACGAATGTTTATTTTGATGCAAAATTTTGTAATTTATATATAGTTTTTCAAATAATGCATTTTCAGTAACTTTTGTAATATACTTACATTTGCTCTTTTTTGTATTTTTAATATAAAATTATATAAAATATTAATAAGGTGTTATTGCACTTATAACAAATATAGTTGTAATATGTATAACAATAAGAGTACATAAGAGAGGCAAAGGATAGAACTATACAAGTTTAATATTTCTATATGCAAATGAAATTAAAATGGTAGAAATTTGAAGTCAGTTCTACTAAGTAGAGATGTATACAAAAAGCTGTAGAGCAACCATTAAAGAAACAACAAATATAGTAAAAATAAAGAAAGGAACATGTTATATAGAAAATATTGACAAGATATCAGTAAGAGAGAAATGGAGGGAAAAAGACATTAAAATGACAGTTGAGGTTCTGGTATGACCAAGGATGTCTCTTGGGACAAAAAGTTTTGATTACCTATGAAGTACAAAGACATGACAGACACTGCTATGCAAAGATGTTGGGATTTAGAGTCCATAACTTCAGACTTCCTCTAGGGAGGTTTCCAAAACATAATCGATATCTAAAGTGCTACACTTTTGATGGGAGATGATTAGATATATTTTCTACTATTATCATTTGTGTCATTACTCATATTTTATAGAGTTTACCTTCCAGGTATGAATCGATTGCTGTAACTTTTTTCAATCTCCATAATTATCACACTTGCTCTATCAATTGCCAGATGAAGAATAATGAAGTTTACCAATAAAATCAAGATAACAAAATATACATAGAAAGGTAAATGTTTTTCAATTTATCATTTTTTCTTTTATACATAATGCACACAGGAAAATGATGAGGACTGAGATAAGCTGGTTGCTATTTTCCATTCAGTTGCATTTTGAAAGGCTAACACCTGGGAAGATTTTAGATGCTGTGCTGCAAACCTGACAGCCCCCAATGCAAGCAACACCGCACACAACCATTAGAGTTAGAATCCCATAGCTTCTAAAGCAAAAGTAAAAAGACTTGAGAAGTTAACAAAGAAAATAGATCCAGAAACAAGCTTTACTTACTTCATATGTTGCCAAGGATTAATCCTAAACGCTATTAAGCTTTCAAATAATTAACTAAATCCCTCTGAAACTTCATCCAATATATATTCCTAACATAAGATCAAAGCACTCATAATTATGCTTGGGAAATCACACTATTGCTCATTTTAAATCCAGATACTCTAAGTATAATTTGAATACATTCTCTATATGTTCTGCTCAATACTCAAAAATGATCTTAAGATAGAAAGTATTATACCCAATGCTTCTCTTTGATATATCAAGTTTGTCATTGCAATAAAAGAAAATCAGGTTAATTTGTCAGGACTTATTCTTCACCTACATATGTTTATTGATAAGAATCACAGTATTTCAATGCCAAAACATATTTTAATGTTCATGAGATCAAATTTCCATTCTTCCATAAAAAGGATAAATGTTATTTCTAAAACTGTGTAGGTGTAAGTACCCATAATTGTATGTTTGAGATGGAGCAGGAAAATGTAAGTTTTTGCATTATTCAATACAATCACAGATTTTCAAGCCAATAGATAGTTCAGCAAACATCACCGTCATTTTTAAGACATTTACAAAAAGAACTTGAATTCAACATCACTCTGAGAAACAATGCATGTTCTTCCAGTACCTTTTAGCTCTTTGAAATTAAATTTAAGTGTTTTGATTGATAGTTTAGATTGAGAGGCAGTTGGTTATCATTAGTAATCAAATATGGCAAAAGCACAACCCCCCATTTTCAAGTTTCACATCCTTTTACCTCTCATAATTTAAAATATATTTCTTAAGGTTTGTTTCCTACTTTTTGATCAGCTCCAAAATATTAATGTAATTATAGATTTACAAACCTTAGCTATCATTTCTTATACAAAATAGCCCTGGAAATGAGGCAAGCACCAATATTTGATATTTATGATACAAAGGGAATTCATAACATATCCAAAATATCTAATTTTAAAAAAGCTTCTAGGAAAAAAATGTGCTAAATTTTGAAATGATAAATTCCCAACTCTTAAAAGGTCAAAATCCTACTTTCTCTCCATATATAGTTTTTACCTAAAATGGCCTTTATACTTCACTAGGAAAAGTATTTCATGAATAAACATATTACTAATGTTCAATTTTATAAGCAACAGAAAAAAATATATACATACACTTGACCAAACATGATTTAAATGCTCTATATTCAAAAATAATAAATGAAATAAAAGAACTGACAGCAAAATTAGAATAAATTTAGGAAAACATTTACAATCCTTGTATCTTTGAGTATCCTTGTTTCTGGGAGCATACAAACTTTCCTCTAATGATATTTGCTTCTTTCTAATTAAAGAATCCTATGCACTGTGCAAAGCAGAACCTCATTTTCCTGGTGTATAGTGATTCTCTCAAAGAACATCTTAATGAGATCCCATAACTTCTCAGTCATGTGTTTATTATTAAAATCGTTTCAACTGAGATCCATCCATTCTTTCAGAACTTTATTCTCACACTTAATTTAGACATGTATGTCATAATTGCCTCTCTATATGCTTAGAGTAGAAGAATTTCGTTCACACATTGCCTCTTCCTTTATACTCTAGGTTCCCATCTGTCTACTGTTTCACAGGAGGAGAAATAGAGGCAAGGCTTCAATCCCCTCTTCTTTTTGAGACTTTTGTGGGGCTATAGTGGGTACCTTCTAAAAAAGACCCCAAGCGTTAACCCACCCTAATTTAGTTTCTCCTGAATTGGCACCACTTGCTAAGCTGGCTCTCAAGGATGAAAAAATTGTACAAAACGATTCAATGCCACTAACATTTCTGTGTACACAAAACCCAAGAAATCCTTACATCTTTGTCATGCTGTGTATTGAAAATGTAGGTGCATAACTGCTGCTGCATCGAGGCTTCTCTTCTCTGTACAAACTGAGCATCCCTAAATCTGAAAATCCAAAACCTGAAATGCTAAAATGTAAAATACAATGGCCACAAGTGGAAAACTCCACATCAAACTTTATCTCAGCAGTCACAGTCTAAATACATGTACACTAAGATACGGTATAAAATTACCTTCAGGCTAAATGTGCTATGCTCATATGAAACAAAAATGAGCTCATGTTTAGACTTGGATCCTTTGCTCATTGAATCTAAAATCTAGTCCCAAGCATTTTGAATAAGGGGAAATCTATAATTCTTATTTTATCTACTGATAATGTGCAGTACAAGTGCATATTAGCAAGTTTGTTGCTTACATAGTTGTACAACAGAACAGGAGGAGGATGGCTATTAAGTCCAGGTGTATGTCTCCCTTTCCAGTTTGTCTCTTATTGTGACTGTCAGAGTGGGGAAGAAAGGTGAGATATGGGGTCCATGGAGAGACATGAAAGCAAGGATGGTTCTGAGACCACTCTTCCAGCAGTACAGTATTATTTTTAATTTAAAAAAAAACAGAAAATAATCCAAATATACAATCTGTAGATTATCTTTAAATAAGTTATAGAATTCCCAATGAATAAATACTATATGAAAATGTTAAAAACTATAAGGAATTACAAATTGTATTAACATCATATTATGTAAATAAGATGATCTAAAATTGCATTAAACTCACCATGACCTGGAGGAAATTTTTTCCATTTGATGAGTGCAACGAGTTCATTTATGGATAAAGTAGGCCACTCTTCATAATATGGACACTTATGGATTAATTTAAACTTTTGTACATTTTCATGTTTTATCATTTCCTGAAAAATAAAACTGTTATCACATTTCTAACTCTAAGTAATTTAAAAAGATATTCAAGTATATCAAATAGACAAATGGCTAAAAAAGAAAATTGTAATTGAGAATAATATATATTGAATTTTAGAGCCTTATAGACACAGAAATTTTAATCTTCAGACCTGCTTACTAAAATTATATTTTCCTATCTTTCATAATATCTTGTCCTAATGTAAGTAACTAAAAAATCTTGTAATAATCAAGTTTAATATCAAATATTTTTATTTTAAGTAAGTGGTACCAAGATTTGGAAAACAGACACAAACCATATTAAACATTTTTTAAAGCCAGCCACTCTGAAAAATAGAACAAACTGACATGAGGGATTTGCAATGAAACTGAATTCCAAGAAAGTCATCTCTACCACTGATACTGAGACCAACGTATCAAAAGAAATCTCCACAATTAGAACTAATAGTAAGAAGTGGGTGCCTTCCCATCTCCATCCAACATGTGCACGCATATGTGGCTTACACAGAATTGCAAGACCTTTACAAGGGAGACCCTCGTGGGAGACCTGGATATAGTTCCTGCATCCTAGCCTCAGCCTGACCCAGCCCTGGCTGTTTTGGCTGTTTGGGGACTGAACCAAAAAACAGAAGATTGATCTGTCTGTTTCTCACTTTCTCTCTTTCTCCTTCCTGTCCTCTATCCCTCCCTCTTCTTCCATTCCTCCATCTCTCCATCCTTCTTTCTCAGTCATCCTACCTTCCCAATAAGTAAATAAATATTTTAAAAAATAGAAAAGCTGAAACAACAGAGCCATAGAATCTCTCAGTCCTATCATTCATACAAATTTCCTCTGTCAACTAAGGAAGGAGAACTAGCAGAGAAGGAAACCTTTGGATTTGAGTAAAAGAGAATAAACTATTCAAATTTAAGTAAATTAGGTATAATCACCTATTCTTGCAGCTATGAATTTTGATGAAAGAGCATGCCAATCATTTCAAAGCAAATGGTCTCCTCTGAGGTAAGCTACAGATTTGGACAGCATTAGTACTTCTCTCTATGTGATTATCAAGTACTAGTAAATAAAATAGCTGATATCCAACACATATATTCTTAATAAATGAATTAATTAATGTGTTTGAAATTTATAAAAACAAAAGATACTCAAAAGTACACCTAAAACATATTTATAGAGATTTTTTTTGACAGGCAGAGTTAGACAGTGAGAGAGAGAGAGAGAAAGGCCTTCCTTCCATTGGTTCACCCCCCAAATGGCCGCTACAGCAGGTGCGCTGCGCCGATCCAAAGACAGGAGCCAGGTGCTTCCTCCTGGTCTCCCATGCGGGTGCAGGGCCCAAGCACTTGGGCCATCCTCCACTGCCTTCCCGGGCCACAGCAGAGAGCTGGACTGGAAGAGGAGCAACCAGGACTAGTACCCAGTGCCCTGACTGAGACTAGAACCTGGGGTGCTGGTGTTGCAGGTGGAGGATTAGCCTAGTAAGCTGCCGTGCCAGCCTATTTATAGAGATGTTTGTTTCCACTTCAGTTTCCCACTTCCAGTAGACACAGGTGAAATCAAAGCCACATAACTGTGGTTTACAGGTAAATTCAAATTTAAGACACAAGAAAAATATGGGCATTGTTTTATAGACAGGAAAAACCAAGCATGAATTTATGCACATGGAGTATGAATATATAGGTTAGGTGTAGTCATACCAATTTTAACTTTGCATACTCCTTTGCAGGGATTTTCAGAATTTCACACTCCTCTTCTGTCACCACTGAGAAAGACTGTGGTTCTAATTCAGTCTCCAGGGACCCAAAGGTACTCCATTGTCCAAGCTGTAAAAAGCAAAGGCAACTAAAGCTTCATTACCACTCATTACTGTAAAAATACCTGTGAGAGTGGCAGTAACTAAGTGAGTCTACAATAGGAATTGAAATTCAAACCCCAACTGTATGAAGGAAGGCCACTGGTAGCAATGAGTGATAACAAAAGTGAGGGTAGTGTTAGTGCATATATATCTTTTACCAATATACATATTCTAAGAGGGACCCTAATTTAATATGTGAAAGATAAATCTTAACCACGGAAAATATTCCCCTAGAATACATATGGTAAGTTATAAGGATTTAAGGAGACACTAGCTGCGTAGTGGATTTGCATTCATGTTTGCCTTGGACAAACTGGAGAGCATGTGAAGACTGTGTTGTATGAGAGGCATACAAAGCCACCCGAGCTATCTAAGGAAAGTTCCACGTCAGTGTGACTATCCAAGGTAATATGTGAGGACTTCCACTCTTCTACTTTAAATCCATACAAAGACTGATCATTTTTTTCTTATTTCTTAAAAATGTACAACTAGATTTGAATATGCAAGTGAAGATGGAAAAAAGAAACTTAAAATATCAGTCAGTACTGAAGTCAGAGTGGTCCAGGTCTAGCCAGCTGCGCTTGTCATACATGTGGGACAGACAACACTCGGGATCGCTTACAGCAGGGAACTGGTATTCAGTCCTCTTGAGTCAGGTGTAGGAACATGGGGTATCGTCCTACATGTGGAAGAGAAGCAAGAAAAACTACCTGCCAACTAAAAAGCCACATGTAGGCCTTCCTTCCAGCTGTAGAAGTAGGCAGAATATCACAAAATTGGGAGTGCATATTTACAATTTGTATGGATACACTGACCCATACAATAAGAATCAAATCTAGAAAATTATGGTAAAGACAAGTAAACAACTTGAAAAGCCACTGCATCCAAAAAGGTATAAACTTTGGCTATACACACACACACACACACACACACACACACACATATATATATATATATATTCAGGGGGAAAAGAATTCCTATTAGAAAACAATACCTGATGATGACAAAAATCACAATTAAAAAATTAGAAGATACAAAATTCATGTTCAAATAAAAAGTAGGAGAAAATGAACAGTATAAAACAAGCTATATACTATATACATTTAAAATATTTAGAGTATAAAATCAGAGTATAACATGATGGAAACAAAAGAAGCATTTTTGAAAAAGAACAAAATTAAACTTCTATAATAAAGTAAAAGCTACTGAAATAAAAATTTATTGGACACTGATTTGTACATTAGAAACTAACTAAAGATTTCATGACATAGATAAAACATGAAAATTATCCAGTACACAATATATACAATATATAATAAAGAAGGAATGAAAACAAAAAGGAATTTTAGTAAATGTGGAAAGACAGACAAATGATTTCCAGAAAACACCAGAAAAATGGAAGAAAGATGGTATGAAATAAAAATGGAAGCATGTTTTCCAAAATTGAGGGAAGAGGTGAGTTTTCCAATTGAGGAGGCCCAAAGAATAATGTTTGCATTTTATATTCCAGCTCAAGATATGGTATACTCCTTTATTCTTTCTTTTCAGATTCACCCAGCACTGTATTATTTGCTATCGATAACTTCAATGAAGTGTTTTTTACATGTTTTCTTCCAACTTTTCTAATTGTTTTAACATGTGAGTCTGAATTCCTTATAAGCCATTATGAAAATATAAATTTTTGTACAGTATTTCTTAATTCAGGTTACAAATTAATACTGTAGAAATTTAAAAAGAGATGTCGTGAGAAATATTTGCTATAGTAGGGTAAATATGTAAAATGTCAAATAAACACCTATAGCTTATATGAAGAGAAAAAAAAGCACAAATTATTCTAGAAAAGGGACAAATATATTTAAACCAATCAACAGTTTGCAGAAGAGAAAAGCATAATAACTACACACAAAGAATAGGAGGCAATGCTGTGGTGCAGCGGGTTAACACCCTGGCCTGAAGTGCCGGCATTCTATATGGGCACTGGTTCTAGTCCTGGCTGCTCCATTTCCAATCCAGCAATCTGCCATGGCCTGGGAAAGCAGTGGAAGATGGCCCAAGTCCTTGGGCCCCTGCACCCACGTGTGAAACCCAGAGGTGGCTCCTGGCTCATGGCTTCAGATGAGTGCAGCTTTGGCCATTGCAGCCAACTGGGGAGTGAACCATCGGATTGAAGACTTCTCTCTCTCTCTCTCTCTCTCTCTCTCTCTGCCTCTCCTCTATCTGTGTAGCGTTTTCAAATAAATAATAAATAAATATCTTAAAAAAGAATAATTTTCAACCTCACCGGTCTATTTAAAAGATATGTTAAGGGACTTAAAGGGAGACTTAGATTCCAATGCAATAGTACTGGGGGACTTCAATACTCCACTCTCAGAAATAGACAGATCATCTGGACAGAAGATCAACAAGGAAACAGCAGATTTAATCAACACTATTGCCCAAATGGATCTAACAGATATCTACAGAACTTTCAATCCTACAGCTAAAAACTTTACATTCATGTGATACACCACATTAACAGACTGCAGAAGAAAAACCATATGATTCTCTCAATAGATGCCGAGAAAGCATTTGATAAAATACAACACCCGTTCATGATGAAAACTCTAAGCAAACTGGGTTTGGAAGGAACATTCCTCAATACAATCAAAGCAATCTATGAAAAACCCACAGCCAACATCCTATTGAATGGGGAAAAGTTGGAAGCATTTCCACTGAGATCTGGGACCAGACAGGGATGTCCACTCTCACCACTGCTATTCAATATAGTTCTGGAGGTTCTAGCCAGAGCTATTAGGCAAGAAAAAGAAATTAAAGGGATACAAATTGGGAAGGAAGAACTCAAACTATCCCTCTTTGCAGATGACATGATTCTTTATTTAGGGGACCCAAAGAACTCTACCAAGAGACTATTGGAACTCATAGAAGAGTTTGGCAAAGTAGCAGGATATAAAATCAATGCACAAAATCAACAGCCTTTGTATACACAGACAATGCCATGGCTGAGGAAGAACTTCTAAGATCAATCCCATTCACAATAGCTACAAAAACAATCAAATACCTTGGAATAAACTTAACCAAGGATGTTAAAGATCTCTACGATGAAAATTACAAAACCTTAAAGAAAGAAATAGAAGAGGATACCAAGAAATGGAAAAATCTTCCATGCTCATGGATTGGAAGAATCAATATCATCAAAATGTCCATTCTCCCAAAAGCAATTTATAGATTCAATGCAATACCAATCAAGATACCGAAGACCTTCTTCTCAGATCTGGAAAAATTGGTGCTGAAATTTATATGGAGGCACAAGAGACCTCAAATAGCTAAAGCAATCTTGTACAACAAAAACAAAGCCGGAGGCATCACAATACCAGATTTCAGGACATACTACAGGGCAGTTGTAATCAAAACAGCATGGTACTGGTACAGAAACAGATGGATAGACCAATGGAACAGAATTGAAATACCAGAAATCAACCCAAACATCTACAGCCAACTTATATTTGATCAAGGATCTAAAACTAATTCCTTGAGCAAGGACAGTCTATTCAATAAATGGTGCTGGGAAAATTGGATTTCCACGTGCAGAATCATGAAGCAAGACCCCTACCTTACACCTTACACAAAAATCCACTCAACATGGATTAAAGACCTAAATCTACGACCTGACACCATCAAGTTACTAGAGAACATTGGAGAAACCCTTCAAGATATTGGCACAGGCAAAGAGTTTCTGGAAAAGACCCGGGAGGCACAGGCAGTCAAAGCCAAAATTAACTATTGGGATTGCATCAAATTGAGAAGTTTCTGTACTGCAAAAGAAACAGTCAGGAGAGTGAAGAGACAACCGACAGAATGGGAAAAAATATTTGCAAACTATGCAACAGATAAAGGGTTAATAACCAGAATCTACAAAGAGATCAAGAAACTCCACAAAAACAAAACCAACAACCCACTTAAGAGATGGGCCAAGGACCTCAATAGACATTTTTCAAAAGAGGAAATCCAAATGGCCAACAGGCACATGAAAAAATGTTCAAGGTCATTAGCAATCAGAGAAATGCAAATCAAAACCACAATGAGGTTCCACCTCACCCCGGTTAGAATGGCTCACATTCAGAAATCTACCAACAACAGATGCTGGCAAGGATGTGGGGAAAAAGGGACACTAACCCACTGTTGGTGGGAATGCAAACTGGTCAAGCCACTATGGAAGTCAGTCTGGAGATTCCTCAGAAACCTGAAGATAACCCTACCATTCGACCCAGCCATCCCACTCCTTGGAATTTACCCAAAGGAATTTAAATTGGCAAACAAAAAAGCGGTCTGCAGCCTAATGTTTATTGCAGCACAATTCACAATAGCTAAGACCTGGAACCAACCTAAATGCCCATCAACGGTAGACTGGATAAAGAAATTATGGGATATGTACTCTTTAGAATACTATACCGCAGTAAGAAACAACGAAATCCAGTCATTTGCAACAAAATGGAGGAATCTGGAACACATCATGCTGAGTGAAATAAGCCAGTCCCAAAGGGACAAATACCATATGTTCTCCCTGATCGGTGACAACTGACTGAACACCAAAAAGGAAACCTGTTGAAGTGGAATGGACACTATGGGAAACGGTGACTTGATCAGCATAGCACTGACTGTTAATGAACAACTTAATACATTATCCCTCTTAGTAGTTTTTTTGTCTGTTCTACTTAATATGACTGGTTTAATTCTGTAATTAATACACAGTTATTCTTAAGTGTTGAAATTTAACTGAAATGTGATCCCTGTTAAACATAAGAGTAGGAATAAGAGAGGGAAGAGATATATAATTTGGGACATGCTCAAGCTGACTTGCCCCAAATGGTAGAGTTAGAAACATACCAGGGGACTCCAATTTAATCCCATCAAGGTGGCATGTACCAATGCCATCTCACTAGTCCAAGTGATCAATTTCAGTTCGCAATT